CTGATTCTTAGATTTGCACCCATGAACCTCCAGAGTGTACACAGTGTCAGAGTTATTTCCATTTCTCAGAACCAGAAGGGGAATGTTCAACTGTGATCAATTTAAGGAAGTCTATCTGGGTGACAAGGTAAAGCTAAAGTGATCAAGGGCCACTTTTTCCGTGGACCTTTCTAATTTTTCGTATGATGTCCCACTGACCTAGAAACATTTTTTGGACATATGATTACTCCTGTTTGTAAAGCTACCCACATGTGTAAATGTCTGTAAGATCAGGACCTTAGTCACTGTGCCTCAGTTTCTATTTTTAAATTGAGGGTACTTCCTTACAGTATAAAGGGTGCTGTATAGATTAGTTAACTAAGATTCATACAGCAGTTTGAAAACAGTATTTCATAAAATACATTACATTTCATATGGTAATGGACAATCTTTCCAGTGGTTCAGGAAGAATTTTAAAATTCCTCTAGGAAAGGGTTTTTTTATTTTATTTTCTCTTCCTCTGGTATAGATATTTGTTTCCTCTATAGAATCTCCTGGGTCTTCATCTGCAAATCACTCATAAGGATTCCCTGCCCTAAATTTCTCATCATAATAGGTTTTCAACCCAAACAAAACTCTCTAAAAAGGAAAAAAAAATAATGTCTGGAAACTCATCTTGGACTTATCTATTTCAGATAGGGACTAGATGGAAGTAATTCATTTAGTGACATTTTCCATCTGTAATAAGTTTTTTTTTATTTTTAATTTCTTTTGTTGCTTTAGAGTGCAACATCCCTCCAATGCATATGCCAGATATGCTTAAGATGATACCTTTACATAGTTGTACATAGTGTAAGTGTGACAAGGACACGCTATGACTTATGTTAGGAGTTTATCAAGGGAGCTCAGATTTCTGTTCCAAGGTACTCAACAAAAACATTTACTTTTCATATATATTTGCAGCCCCTGAACAACTACTGCTATTTTGCATTACAAGTTTAATCCTCAGTCACTTTGTTTGCAGAGCTATTGGTTCTTACAAAACTAAAACAAACTGTAGGTACACATAAATAGTTCATCCTACAGCTGCTTGCTTTATATCCAAAGCACAACAACTAGATAGAGGTGTAATAAGATTTGAATTCAATTCTTTTTTGTAGGTTCAAAAATACAGATATAATCTGTGCCTGCAAAAGAATGAAAGTTTATTCTGAAACATTAAGTCTGCATGGAGGATTTCACACAAACAGAAGACTTCTACCTGTGGAATTAATCGTGACAACTGTACAAAGAGTACCATGTTTTAGCATATATAACCCATGGGTTATGCAAAGTTTTACAAATCCCGTCCCCCCTCCTGCGGTCTATACTCGTCTGCGTGTTATACAAGTTTTTTTTACTGAAATTACAGGAAGACGAGATTGACTCTTACTTGATAAAAGCAGCATAAGAATTCCCTGTGACCTTCTTCCCTCTGTTGCATCTCTCTGAACATGGTTGGCTCTCCCTGAGACGGGGGGGTGCTCTGTTTAAGGACACAGCTCCTTTGCTCAGCTCCTGGCTCTGGTTGCCTGGTGCAGACAGCTCACCCTCAGGGGAGTGCACAACACAGGCGGAAGGCAGCTTCCCCAGCCATAGGCAGGTGTAGAGAGTTGGAGACGGTGCAAGGGATAAGCCCAGTCACCTTCCCTTCCCATGCAGCCTCCCAAGACACAGCCAGTCTGCCCTGCTGGGCTGCAGTCATCTACTCGGCGCTTTGGCAGTTGTGCAATGATGTAGCTAGAGCTCAAATGCTTCTGTGTGACAGGCTCAGACCCTGACACCTGAGTTAATTACCCTCATTATCATTCATTAACAGTTCATCTCCTGTGGGCTATACACATGTGCGGGTTATCTAAGACTTTTTTACAAAATCAGGAAAAATCGCAGGTTATGCACGGGTGCCAGTAATACACATACACAGGTTATATACACTAATTTACGGTACAACAGTTTTGTACAGAAGTTAGCTACAGAGACCAGCAGAATCCAAATCCTCCTCCACAAGCCACAGAGCTTTCTGCAACTACTGCTTCAGTCTCAAGGTTAGAGCAGCATTTGAAGTCTGCTGAAGTCAACAGCGTTATGAAAACGGAATGAAAGGAGTATTATACCTACCATCTTCTTAACACTAACCTCTTTCTTTATTTTCAAATAATCATAGTATCAAATACAGGATTACTAAAGTTTTCACACTCATGTATCATATTCACCATTATGGTTCCAAGTAAACTGCATAGAGGAAACATACCTTCTGAGTTCCAGCCACTAGTGTATAGATACCTGACATGGCCACAACCAGGTGGATTTTGTATTTGCATTACATCAGTTGTATGTTTTGCCTTGCCACCTGAAAACCTTGAGCCCTTTGGATCTCGTTAATCTAAATTCCCCATGAAAATCCAGGAGGAGAATAACGTATTCCAAATAACCAAATCTATTTTGGATATTGATATTATTGTTAACAATGAAAATATACAATTAAACAACCTGCTCATTTTATTCTGAATGAATCTGGTTAATTTAAACCACAATGCACTCAATCAATGCAAAAAAAAAAAAAGTGACACCCATTGAAACAGACCATTAACAATGACAAAAGTTATCTGATAAGGTAGTTATACCATTAACATGTATTTGGTTTGTTTTCACAAGGTATCACAGGTCTAGCTAGAATGCTTGCTGAACTTCCAGATCTTATTAAATATTTATAATTAATCCTTACAAAGTCACATTTCACAATGCTTGTTCTAATTAAAGGGACACTGTCAACTTGAATTTTTTGAAAATAACTACTTAAAAAAAACCAAGTTTTTTGGTAGAGTGCCATTTAAATAATGGAGTCTGGTTTTGTTAATTTCTTTAAATAAACAATTACAAGATTCTCTGTTCCAATTATCACAATTATAAATTCACAGTTTGTATTTAGAAGTATCTGTGGTGTGATCCTGTGAGCACAACAAATCTACCCAGGCTAACCTTCTCACCCTACCTCAACCTTTTTTCCTCTCTTCTTCTTGCGTGGTCAGTTTCATCTTTGCTGTTGCTTTTACTTCCAAATTTTCCAGGCCTTGGGGAAGCTTGTCTACCATTGCACACAAGATGTGACAAAGACCAAAAATGATGAACACAAAAAAAGTATTCATGCAAGAAACTTAAAATGAAGCAGGACCCTTCCTTTCGAAAAGCTCTTTCTAGATTTGTTTTTCAATTCTTTGTTTCTGAGGTAAATGTTCAACAATAAAACTGAAGAGGATATCAGATTTGTGCATAAGTGAGGTAACTTTGAGACTGAAATGAGTAAGACTTCACATTTTAGAGACGTGCACAAGCAACAAAAACATTGGAACTCAATCTATAGAGTGCAAAAGAAATGCACAGCATAAAGGAAATGAAAAAGTATTTTCAGAATATTTTAATATCTGTCAAATAAAGTTATTTTAAGGGTTACTTTCTACTGCAGTAGTTTGGGATTTTGGGACAGAAATGTGATTTCCAAGCTGACAATTTCCCTTCAATACTATATGGCTATGTCTAGACTACAACTTTTTTTCAGAAAAAAGAGCTCAAAATGTGCTCTGTAATTTGAGTACCTTTTTCTGCCCTTTTTTTTTTTTTTTTTTTGAAAGAGGCTTTTCCAAAAATTGGCCCGTCCACACTGGGCCACATTTTGGAAAAAAAAAACCTCTTTTGGAAGATCCCTGCTTCCTCGTGGAATGAGGAAGATAGGGCTTCCAAAAGAGCGTGTCTGCTCTTCCTCAAAAAAAATGCAGAAGAGCAAACACGTTCCCTTGACACGGAGTGCTTTTCGGATACTGGAGGTGTCCTGGACCCCTCTTCCCCCCACAGTCTAGACGTAAGTATGGCAATGTACTGTTTTCTGTATTAATCTGGAAAAAAGGCAAGCTCACTAATTTTTCAGTGTTTGCAACATCATTGTATTAGAATTTAGATGATGTTAATAACCTATAGCCCTATCTCAAAGAAAGGGCTAATGCAAGTCCTTATCATAAATGAGTGATTTCATCATGTGGCAGAGAGAGGATAAGTTCTTACCCGAATTCACAAAGTGTGCTGGCAATGTGCTTTACCATGATATGAGCCACCCTAACGCTAGCTGTACAGAAACAGTGATTAAAAGAAAAAGGATATAGTGGGTTTCAATTAACACCTCTTAAAGTTATTAAAGAAATTTACAGACATGGCATAATTCAAAAGAAGAAACACTGATCACACACAGCAGTGATGGGAAAAACTAAGATTAACATTTACAATTTTTGGTGAAGGAAAAATTAAGGGTTTGGCAGGGAACTCTAGTACACTTCCACATTTTATATCAGCAATTGCTGTTACTTATTCATTGAATTTTCTGACTTCACCAGCCACATATTTGTGCACATAATTATTTGTGTTTGTAAATGTTAAGCTCAAAATTATACAGGGATATGAGATTGTTCAACCTTAATGATAGAAATGTAGCTGTGTTAGTCTGGTGTAGCTGAAACAAAATGCAGGACAATGTAGCACTTTAAAGACTAACAAGATGGTTTATTAGATGATGAGCTTTCGTGGGCCAGACCCACTTCCTCAGATCAAATAGTGGAAGAAAATAGTCACAACCATATATACCAAAGGATACAATTAAAAAAATGAACACATATGAAAAGGACAAATCACATTTCAGAACAGAAGGAGGATGCAGGGGGGAGGGGAGGAAGGTTCTGTTCTGAAATGTGATTTGTCCTTTTCATATGTGTTCATTTTTTTAATTGTATCCTTTGGTATATATGGTTGTGACTATTTTCTTCCACTATTTGATCTGAGGAAGTGGGTCTGGCCCACGAAAGCTCATCATCTAATAAACCATCTTGTTAGTCTTTAAAGTGCTACATAGTCCTGTATTTTGTTTCAACCTTAATGAACAGGAGCTGAGGAAACTTCCCCCCACTATTTGAACCTAACAGGATGTTTCTCCTTCATAGCCCAATCCCTCTGCAAGGCCTGTAAGACATCACACCCGCACCCCTGAGCAGCCAGAGAGCCTCACATTACCTGCCTACTCCCACAGCCACCAGCCTTCTCTCCCCGCATGGAGCCAATGTCTACTGGTTCCTGGTTCCTCCTTGCTCCTGGAGCGGTCCACCTGTCCTGCACATTCCAGGCTTCACAGAAAGTTTGGGAACAGATGCAACCCAACCAGAATTCAACAGGACATGCTTACAGGTGTTGAGATTGGGTTGACTCAAGTATGAAAACGATCTGACACTCTCGGACTTGGGTCAGGTAGCCTCTAATCACATTCTTCTTCCCATGGGGTTGGCGTGGCAGTAACTGCATTTCTTGCTACTGCAAGTCACCCTCCTGCCACCCACCCTCACTAAGCAGGGTGTGCTACAGGGTGAGCATGCCAACAAATTGCAGTGCCTCTCATTTTGCAGCACACACAACACAGAGAGGCAGCCAGAAGCAGGAGCAGAACATGTGGTTGCCACATCAGTAACCTCACATTCAGGAGACATCCAGAGATGTATCTAAGGCATGCAGTACCAGAAGTCCCAACCAGGTAAGACCTAAAGACAAGGTGGCAGCAGCAGTGCTAGCACAAGTTCATGGGAAACCAGCTGCTCTACAATGAGCAATGCAGAGCCAGGAGCACAAGGGAACAGCTGGTGGGCTGGGAGGTAATTAAACCTCAGGGACTTTACAGAGAAAACAAAATTAAGTCTGAGCCAGCAGCTAGAGCCTTGCAACCCAACCAAATTCCAACACAACCCTAGTACTAGTTTGGGTCAAGTCCAGTGTAGAAGCAACCCAACACTCTTGGGTCAGATTTAGAGTGTCTGTAATCTAGGTGGGTTTTGGCCAGGCTTTAATATTAGTCCCAAGCAGATTTTTAGACAAGAACACAGAGATCCAGAAACCCACAGTGGAAAAGGTGAAGACTTTTAGAGGAGGGGTTTCTGGAGAAAAGGAAATCACTACCACCCCACACTTAAGAGTCTTGAACAGCTACATTCCCGGATCCTAGACAAAGCAGACCTGCCAACTAACAATCCCAACATCCAGAAGGCATAAAGTGACACAGTGATTTTCATCTCTATTTTCTTCACCCCCTTCCAGCATCCAGCACAGGAACAGGGGAACTTAGAATTGAGGCCTTTTTTATGCTAGTTGACTTAATTTACACATCTGGTTCAGCCAAAGCAGAGCTGTCTATTGAATATTCAATAAAATATTTATTATAGTTTGTATATAAGCAGATGGCTTTGCTTGTGCTGAGTCACGTATGAAAAATCCTGTAAGAACACCAAATGGCACACCTTTTTTCTTATTACATCTGCCCAAGCTCCTCCAGAGAAGTCAACTTTACAATTTCAGACAGCTTGCACAATTCAGGACAAGAAAACAAAATATACTAAAAGGTTCATTATTCTGTATCCTCCTCCCCAATTTTCCCTAACTCTCTGTTTATTCTTTCTGAGTATGCCAGTGCCAAGTACACAGGAAAATTATCAAGTCTTAAATTTGCCAAATGGCTACAGTGCAATTCACAAAAGCCCTGTTTACTGAACATTATTGTTAGTGGTGAGAAGAACACAGTGGAATTGAGGAAATTTCTTCTGGAGTATATCCAGGTTGGGCTTTTGTTTTTTTGTTTTTTGTAAAGAATATGATGCTTTACTTCTGGCTCCAATAGAAAATAACAAGTTTATCCTAAATTCTTATTTTTTAAAAATGTGGAAAACATTTAAAAATCTCAATATTAACTCTGATTTTTTACTAGAACAATAATCCATTGTAGTTAACAAGAGTTGCATGGAAAATATCTAAATGTCATTTGTGACTGTAAAAATATGAGCAGATTAACATTTCCAATTAGCCTCTAAAAAGGCCAATGCTTAGATTTCATTGTTTTAAAATGTTAGTATCAGAGCCATTGGGGCAGATTCTGCTCTTTGATTTATTTCAATTATCATCCTGAGAGCATGTCTAAGCAGTAAACTTACCTGGACAAGTATTATCTCAGCTTTCTGTTAACTTTATACTCACTTTTGGAGTACAGATTAACACATGTTCAAATGCTTCCATTTTAGACTCCACATAGATTCTTCCAGCAATTAACTACACTAAAGTATTTCATAATAAGATAAAAATCAGAAATGGGCTTCAGAGGAATCCCAACTATCTATAAATCTTTGACAGATGTTCAAAATCTAAATTTAGATCTGAATCCAGCTTGTACAACTCATAATATGTTTGCAACAGGCCAAATCAAACCTTTGAACCCAAACACACCGGAAATTGAAGGATGGACATTTTTAAAATCCATACATGAATCTAAAGCCAAATGTTGTGACTTTTCGCTGCCACAACATGGGATCCAAAAATGTTCCAAGTTTGCAGAATTGAAAGTCCATTCCAAATGTTGTGCTTTAGGCCCACATTTAGATAAAATACGCGAAGAATGGTAGGACTTACATTATCTCCTTGTGTGTAGCTATCCTTGGAGCAGAGGCATCTATATGGCTTAGTGCTTGTGTCACAATGATCAGCATGGCCATGACAATTACACCTGCATACAAAAACAGCTATTAAAGGAAATACACAAAATGCATTATTTGAGAGACAGCTCTCCACTATTTTTACACTGTCATGAAGGTAATTTTCTACTTTGTTAAGAATAAACCAAGTCCCAGAAAATACTGTTCTTAAGTGTAGTAACCATTAGATGTCTTCTCTATTCAACATTTATAAATGTCAAGTAAATGCAGCTTTCTAGGGGAATAAATTGACAGAACCATTTCTAGACCAACTATTAAGTTATCAAGGGTGCATTATGTGCTTTCAGTATATACTATGCAGATAACAAGGCCTTAATTATTTACTACAGCTAGCACCTATCTTGTCAATATTAACCCTTTGATCTTATAAGTTGGTCATAATATCTTAAAGATCTTTCATGTATTGAACTTAAACACAAGGGCCCAATTTTGCCCTCAATTACATATAAACTACTCCTATTGAAGTCAAGTCCTCCTATGAAAGTCAGTACTTGTAAAGTAATATACCCAAGTAACTGAGGACAAAATTGGGACTACAGGTTTTTTTTTTCTTTTTTGAAGTATGAAATTAGTGTTTTAGCTCTGCAATAGAAAGGACTGTTCATTACAGAGTCACTGACATACTACATCACAATATTTCTAAATAAACACCTTTTCACAAATACAATAATTAGAAGGTAAGTGTGACCATGGTAGAGTGTTATCTACCAAAATGAGATCAAATCTTTCAAAATATGAATTCAGAAATAATACTTGTTCACAAAAATCAGTACCATATATTCATTTGGAGACTATTTCTCTAAATTTGCATAATTAGTCCTTTAACAAAATTGCACACTTAACATACATATTTAAGTTGTCAGTCAGAAATAATACAACACTTTCAGAATGGCTTCCTTTTTAAAGGAAAAACTGTGGCAAAAACAGAGAATGTAGATCATTAGGACCATTAAAATTGCCATGTCTGAAAATCTGTAATGAAACTTAGAAGACCTTAGTCAAACTTTCAGTTATAAGCCCCTATTTAGAAGAGTTTGTAATGCCAAGAAAAATAAACTCTTTTGACATATTTATCTTATAAAAGCCATTAATTATTTTAAACATGCATTTGGCTAAATGTTCAGAAAATAAGTTTAATGGTATGTGAGTTCTGATCCAATACTATAGGCCAGATGCTTTGCACAGTTACAAAGTAAAACCAGAGTTAAGCCATTGACTTCAAGCTAGCTAATGATATATCACACATCTTTCCAAATGTTCAGTTTTTCAGAAATGTCTTTAACCAATAACGCCTACCTTCCACTGATTGTAATTTCATCAACTCCATAGTATCTGTGCCTGAAGTTGACCCAAGGCTCTGTTGTATGGTATTGGCCATGAAGATGAATCCTCACTTGTGTGGCTTTTACAAACTCTTGGAGAGATGGAGTATTGTAGAAGTCATTGTAACCAGGCCGACGATTCGGCTCAGGTGTAAGAATGCTGAAAGTAACGTTTCCACAGGAGTATGGAGTAAATCTGCTTAAAAAACAAAAAAGATCACAAAGACTGCAAAACATTGTAAAAATATCGATTCTTCATGTTTTTAAAGAGGGCTTCTAATGGACAAATTCTGATGCAAATGGAAATCACATACAGAACTCAAATAAAAACTCATGACTCAAATATGCCATGTGTCTATTTCCCCCAGACTGCCACTTTATTTTTAAAATGAAAATTTATATTCTTGATTACAAAGACTCTAGCCCTTATGGATGGGAAGAAAATCTTGGAAATTGAAAGCAATATTTTCCCCAGTATGTAGAGAGCCAAGAACAATGACTCATGAACTGGTCTGGCTGATAAAAGGCAATTCATACATTCAGTGGTAATAATTCAAGTGCCCACATTATTAACTATTTGCCAGCTGATCAAAGCTTGTAAAAACTGGCACAAATCACATTATGAAAGCCTACAAACTACTGTGTTATCTTATTTTGATAGTATGAGTGGGTAGTATTTGAGAGAGTACTACACAACTTCCTTTTCCTTCCCCAAATTAAGAAAAATGCAAGTGCTTTGGATCTAGTGAAACCCAGCAGGGCTCAATGGGAGCCAAGGTCAATGAGCACAGCTGAATATGTGGGCTTCAAAAAGGGAGGACATAGCCAAGCAAAGCCCAGCACAACAGTCTTCACAACCTACTATGAGCAGAATCTCATTTTGGCATATTTAATGGTCAGAGTTTGGCAAGTAGGCAGAGCCTATGGAGAAGAAGCATTGCTTTTTTCCCCCACCCAAATTTGGACTCTCTAAAATATATGCACCCAATGGCAGAACTTGGCACTTGATTAATGAAATTCCCATGCATTTCTTTTTCCTCTAGAAAACTTCTGGGATTTTTGAAAAGTAGAAGCTCTTGCTAGTAATTTTTGTAAACAGTTTCCAGTTTAAGCCCCTACCCTGCAATGAAATCCTCTGCTAGTGTAGGCCCCGGAGTCTCAGTGGGGGTCCCATTAACTTTGTTGAAACCCCCACAAATATTGAAAGTAGGAATAAGAAATCCTCCGGAAAAGGCTTATTTTCCGGAGAATAACGTCTAGACTGGCGCTTTTCTCCAGCTTTTCCCCAAGCCGGAAAAAAGCGGCAGCCATGTTAATGCAAATGCCGCGGGGGATATTTAAATCCCCCGCGGATTTGCCTATTCCAAAGTCTACATTAGCATCCCTTTTCCGGAAAGGGGTGCCAATGTAGACACAGCCTAGCTGTTTCTGTTTAGAAGATATGCTGATTAGGCTTGGCAGATTTTTTATTTTTTTGTAATTTTACCAGATAATATTAGTTTATTAAATTTTTAGCAGTTTAAGTTTCGTAGTTGTCCAAAATTATGGACTTAAGTGTTAACTTTTTAAAATCTATTTAAATTTTCACATATGTGGGAAATTATGAGATGGCAGGGAAAAAGACATTAACTGATCGTAGATTCAGAGATTCAAAAAGTTAAAGCTTTTTAAGTTACTAA